TAAATAACACTAGCGATGTAAAAAACTCAAAACTACTCGGAACAAACCTCTCCACACCAGCAAAGTATAAAAGTTAGTGTAAAAGTTAAAAATCAAATCCTTCTTTTTGCTGATTTCTGTTTTGTTTTGTTCAAAGTAAACTGTGCGTTGAAACAGTGCCCTTTGCAAACCAAATAGTCCATGTGTTTCTAGCACTCTTACAGTGGTAATTTAAGTCAATAAATTAATCCCCAGCTCTCCTTTTAACAACAACAATGAAAATGTACAGAGATGAGTCGTGAAGGGTACAGGAAAATGCAAAGAAAAATATCTGGCTATAGTACAGGTTGTTTTCGCATTGCTGTTAAAGAGGAGTGGGGGTAGTAAATAAGTGACCTACATTTCATCAGGCTAGACACAGACAGACAGGACAGAGGAGAGCTTTTTCCCCCTACAAACATATTTTTCTGATTGTCCCACAAAGCTGAGGGCCGGATTTTCTCTCTGCTCCCAGGCTGTTCTCCGGATGATCTAATGGCTGCTCTGTCAGCTGTCAGCAGTTGGGAACCAGCCCCGCATCACATCTGTGCTTGTCTGCACCACACTACAGTGCCGTACGGATGGCTCTATGGGCAAGAGACCTCTTTCTCGATTGTTTGTTCATTTTATTTTTCCCCTCTTTTTTCCCTCTGTTTATTTTTTGGACTGATTTATTTTTCTGGACCGATAGTGCTTGAAAAGGGGAAACCGGTTTGTAATCACATCAACTGAGGTTGCTGCATAGCTTCTTGGTGGGCTGACGGGTACCACGATGTGTAGCTGGGTATGTAAGTGCCCGGGGTCCCCGTAGAGGTCTTACCCGATGACGAGGTGGTGTTCCACACTGGGGGTACTGGGGGAGAACTGGCCGAAAGCGCCCTGCCATTCGCCAGAGCGCTGCTTTCCAAAGCGGCCCCTCCCTGCTTCATTAGCTTCTTGAATTTAGATCGCTTGTTCTGGAACCAGATCTTTACCTGGAATACAATAAAGGCATTACTGAATGGGAAGAAGGGCAGAGGGGGACGGGATTGCTCGCACGGCTTTGTCTGAGGGGCCGTGCTCCGCACAGAGACGTGCCAGCGGGATAATGGGAAGTTCTCAGCCAGCCCTGACTCCTATTCTGAACACGGGAAGTTGTGACGGCTCGAAATAAACGCCTAATTCCCGGACAAAGGGCTGAAAGACACTCGCGCGGGGCGGACGGGCTCAGGCTTTGAAGCGTCCAGTCCCACTTGCCTTTGCAGCAGGCAGGCTTCCCCCCAGCTCCCAGGGTGGTGCTGTCAAAGCAAAGATTCGGGGATTAGCAGTGCCCGTGTCCCCCTTCCCGCGCCCAGGACAGCGGTGCACGTGGGCAGCCGTAGCTAGCGGAGTCGTCCTTTCCAAACCGGCTCGGAGCAGCGAGACAATCGAGACACAAGTCGCCCCTTTTTAAATGCACCGGAGTCTCCTGCTCTCGGTCTGGGCTCGCTCGGGTTTCCTTTCACCTGCCTGTGCTAGCGGGGCGGGGGGACCAGGGTTTGTCACGTTCGCTCTTTTCTACCCGAGCAGGCAACTTTGCTTTGGTGGTGCAGCTCCGGACTAGCCGAGACAGCTACCCAGCGGCCGGGCGCCCACCACTACAGGCGACCGGGCAAACCCGCGCTGGGCTGTGGGAAAGGCCGAGATTCCCGTTTCAAACGTGCCGCGAGGATCAGGCTAGAAAGGCCCGTGGAGAAGCTGCCCGGCGGCTGGCGGCAGGAGAGGGGGAGGCTGGTGTGGAAGGCTGCGCATGATTAGCTCTATTGTTCCAGCTGTCCGGCCCCGCGGGGCCTCCAAGCCCCCAGCCAAAACCGGAGCACGGGCGCTCCACAAAGCGGGGCTCCAGGGGCCCACTGGGCAGTGCAGGGCCGCTCGGTGCAAGAGAGGGGGATAGAGGGGCAAAAGCAGAGCGCTGAGAAGGGCCGTGTGGCGGGGGGGGGGGGGGAGAGGCCCAGCGAGGCGGCGAGCTCCGCTCGCTCGGGCAGAGCCAAGTACTGAGTTTGCTGGAATCTCCTGTTCAAAGCCTGCAACTGCAAACTGGAATAAATAGTCCGGGGCTTGCGGATTTTTTTCCCTTTCCCATTAAAGCGAACTTCCCCTCCTTCTACCACGGTGCTTTTCTCCGAGTCGGCCCCTACAAGCACAAACGAGGCACAGTAAATAGCAGTCACATAACCGAAGCAGCACCAACAATACCAATAATGAGAAGGAAGAAAAGAAAAGTGAAGAACAAGTGGAGCTAACAAAGACTCCAGGCGATTATGGCAGTCCAGGCTTCTTCCCAGAGAAAGTTTGCTATTTTTACAGGCTGCAGTTTAGGTTTAATTACCCTTAATTGCATACATTGTTTATAGCGCTACGCAATAAATAATTACGAAGACTAATACGTGCACATCTGGGTTGATTTTTTTCCAGCCGGGCATTGTGTGCTCTGTGTACTGATCCTCGCTGAGCCTCAGCCTTTTCTGGCTAATTATTTTTATTTTATTTTTATAGATATATTTTAATACACCCTCCCCCACTCCTCCCCCCTCCCCAAAGCCAAGTGCACCTACCTGTCTCCTCTAACCGGGTCTGAGTCAGGCTGGAGCTGTTGGGGTAGGATTGCACTGAACTGATGTAGGGGTTAGACGAGTGGCTGCTGACCGAGTTGACATAGGGGTAGCCCAGCGGTCTGGAGAAGGACGAAGCTGTGCTGTACGAGCTGTCAGGCTGAGAGTGGCCCGCTGAGTGTAAACAGTGCATGGAATAGTGTCCATGGGACATGGGAGAAGGAGACATTTGCTGGCTGGGTGGCCCAAACTCCATAAAGACAGCCTTCCCTGAGACAGGGCTATTAAGACTCTCTGGCATGGTAGTCATGGTCATTTCTTGTCGCTTGGTCTGTGTGTGGGTTCTCTCTTCCGCGTGCCTTTTTGGGGTCTGTTGTGTTTCTCAGGACAGGAAAGAACCCAATTTAAGCGGAACAGGGCTTTTCACTTTCCATTCATAAGAAAATGGAGTTTGTCTCTTTGAAAAGTCTAAGCATGATGCTGTAGATCTACACAAACTCGCCTAAAAGCTTTGACTCAGCCAAGCCTATGAATATTCATGAGCTGGCGGAGCTGATTGGTCCGCCGTCTTGCATAATCGCTTTGGATTGGTCAAAGGCGCTTGGGGCTCGCCTGGACCCTAGTGAGTGAGACGAGCCGGACGCGGTGAGCTGAGAGTCCCCCGGCCCCTGTGTGTGATCAGCTGGAAGAGACACCGCCGTCGAGCACAATGAAGGCGGCGAGAGAGAGAGAGACTCAGCCAGGAGGCTTCGCTCCCTCCCGGCAGCCCTCTGTGCACCGCGCTGGAGCCCGCTCCTAAGCCCAGCCAGCCTCTCCCCCACCCACTCTGATTCGCTGCGTCCATAACACATTAGGAAACAAGCGAGCGGAATCGCCGCCTCTGCCTGCCCTGGAGACACGGCATGGGCAGCGAAGGCACGCAGGAAGCACGGCAGCACCCCAAAGAACCCCCTCCCCTAGCCCGGACGTGGCACCAGGCCCTGGGGGTGTCACACCAACCTGCGCTGCTTTGTTCCTCTCTGAAACACACGAGGTGGTGGCGAGGTGCTCTGGGAAAGGTGACCCTGCCTGTCTCCTCCCAACGAGACTAGATCCAATGGATCTTGCTAAAGGCCTCTTGCCACCCACTGATTACTACTTCAGCATGCAGCAGCTAGCGCCTAGACACGATCGTGGGGGCTAAGCTGCAATTAGCATAATGTTGATGTTGTATTTCTTTTAGCGCATACTTTGTGTGTGTGTGTATGCACGTATATCCATAGACACAGTGCATGCTTCTTTGCATCTATATAAAATGCATGAATTGTGTATACACACAAATACCACTAATATCTGTCACACTGATTTATACCAGCTCAGAAAGCATTGCTCAGGTTTTGAGCTCAGCATTGCTGGACCTTTTCAATTTTTTCCTCCCTAAAATATCTAAATTGTGCATTGAAACCCAACCTGAGGCAAAAACTTCCGTGTACGAGCGTGGGGCCAAGGTGGGACTTTGGAGATCCTGCACAGAAAGCCTCCGCTGTATCCCAAATTACTTTGTTAGATAATTAGAAAGTGTTGATAATTATTTCTTTCATAATTTAGTGGTGTGTGGCTGTAACAGGAAAATGATCTTGTGAAAGTTCACACGTGCAGATGTATTAGTTACTGATTCATTTGATTAAATGCTAGTCTCAAGTGCTCTGATACACAGCTGAAGGCGGCCCTATTAGCATAACACTGATGTTTAATTTTCATACGCATAATTAGCCATATATTTAACACTAATAGCAACATGCAGCCTTTCAGCATTAAACAGCCTGGGATTTGATCTGGCCTGAGCTGAACTTTCTCGGTTACACCTAGATTGTCTAGGGTGCGCAGTTACCACAGAACCAAATCCATGTCATCAAGCGCAGTTTGGCAAAGGGAGAACACCAATAAAAATGAACATTCCAAACAAATTGCATTGCTGATGTCGTTACAGATATTAGTGGAGGCTTCTCTTCTCTGAGCTCCTGCAGCTGCTGCTCCTGATATTTCTCGCTCAGAGTAGCTGATGGGGGGCAGAAATAAAGCAGGAAGCGTGGCTGGGATTCCTCTAGCCCCCCAAACACAGGCAGATACCTTTGCCGGCGTTCAAAAGATATGTAAACTCTTCAGCCAGTGGTGATGTTTGAAGCAGCCAGCTAATGACTGTGCAAGCTGACAAGTCTGAGCCTCTTAGCTCTTTTTTGCTTTAGTGGCTCTGTCGGTTTTAATTGCCCATTTCCTAGCGCCTGTTTTATATCCTTTTTGGTTGCGATGCGTAAAGTTCATTTTCATAAAGTAGCTGCGGATTGGTACGGGAAGAAGGGGCAATGATGTATCCTCACATGGACTCCTCTGGCAATCAGCTCTCTTCCCCCGTGCTCATCCTTTCAGCCCTGGCGATGTAAGTGATCGTTCGAGGCGGGTTTGTGCTCTTGGACAGAGAGGGGATGGTGACCTTTTATCAAAGATCTAGGCGAGGTGTGATTAATTAATATCTGTAGACAAACTGAAGGGAACTGGCTAGACAGACCAAGTAATTTATTCCAGACAGCTGCAAATATGGCAACTACGCAACACAAGTATGCTGCTGAGGTTGTTCATTGCTAGATACATGCGGTGCATGAGTGTACTCACATCTGGGCTATCGTGGATGGATTCCACTTGGCGTAGATAGGCGTCAGATTCTGTTCTCGGTTACTCCTGTGGACATTCAGAGTAACTCATTGGCTTCACTATTTTTATTCCGGATTCATGGTGGTGCAGGAGATCTTACTTTCATTCGCTTAATCATATGCATTTTTTTAAAACGCGCTCTCCATAAACGAGCTCCGAATACTTTACGCTGGGGCTCTGATAACTGCATGTCTCACAAATAAATGAAGGCGCGGGATGGAAAGGCTTGGCTTTTTCTCCTCTCTATTTATTGGGGTTGGAGTTGTGTGTGTGTAGAATAGATACGCACACAACACACATCGTTGGAGAGTGTCTAAAGCCTCTCTTAATCAAAAAGATCGTTATGATCCTCAACCAATGCCGAACTCGGTTTCGTACCCTTAATTCAGAGGCACGGGACACAAAAGCCCGCTGTAATTGTACACAACACCTGTTCTTGGATGGCTTATTTATTTGCGTGGTTCTGAGCAACGAGAAGATATATTCTCTTCCAGGCAAAGACTCAAATATTTTACGTGTTGGGAAAGTCACGGGGGAGCAGCGGCGCAGCCCTAGTTGAAGTTATGCCTGGGTGTGATGGTATCCAGATGCCCATCTACAAGCTGAAAAAAAGTTTGGTGCTAGCAAATCAATGGGGGAAAATAATTAAATTCTTTTAAGCCTCCTGCGTAATGTCTGCCTGGAAACATAGCCTGCGTGAAGTATTTTAAAAGCGAGTTAGTTTCCCATGCAGCCGAAGCGTTTTTTACTTTCATAGTCACCTTTATAATTAGGATTATAAATGTGTACCCTAAATACCACCACCTCGGTATAATTGCTACCCAAACAGCTTGTTACCACAGCAGTTGGTAAAATCCTGTAGTCCTAATAACTTTATACTTGGGGGAAACCTCACAGTAAACAGAGACTAAAACAGGACGCTGGACTAATTGCTAGCAATCCGATTACACTTTGAGGGGAGAAATCACACTCTCCGCTCCAGCATTTTATAACATGGGAATGGTCTGTCTCCCTAGATTGCATTGTGCGCGCAGCTCACCGCAGGGGTGCCACGCAGAACGCTGCTGCTCACTTTTATCACTAGGCATTTCTGTAAATCGCTAATTGTGTTGTTGTCCAACGAAAATCCATTGCCTGGCGCTTTCGAACAGCTCGTATGTGCTGCTGAAATATTACCATTCTCGGCTAATAGTCCAGACCAATACAAGTGACTGATTTCATATTTACAACCCAACTGTTGGTCAAAAGTAAGAAAGCAGATGAACAAAAGGATCGGATGGAGTAGTAACTGAAAGGGGATTAAGGTGGCAGGATATTTTATTGTCGCATCTTCCGACGTACACAGTAAAACCAATTCAACATCCCTGATGACAGACCCACAACTCGGTGGGAATTTGGGCGGCGGTGTATGCTTTTTATTTCATTACTAAACCGTTGTTACTTTTTGTAGGGATTAAATCTTTCAACATGACGAAAGAGCAAAGCGTTTTTCTAAATACAAGAACAGGTAGCCCAACACTGGTCTCCAGGAAACAAAATATATTTCCCAAGTACACTATAGAAAGGTTCTAGGTCTTTCTGGGATCAGTGACTACGTAACTTCTGTGCATTAGTAAAGTTGTTTGTGTCATTTATTTGGCAGGTTTTAAGGGTCAGCTACTTTCCAAATCAATCTAAAGAGCGACTGTGCAGTGCTTAAAATGTCACTTTGCGTGCCTAAAAAATCCTTTTAGAAGGTTCCAGGAGTAAGAATTGTGCTTTGCCAAAAAAGCTATAAGAAACGATCAGCGCTGACAGCTTTCTATGTTCCAGGGGAAAAAACAACCCAGCAGCAGAGTAAATCTAGTAGAATTCGGTTAACTTGCTCTCCCCCAGATTCCCAATCAGTCAGTACACTCTGGGCTCCTAAAAAGCGAACAAAAAATTCAGCAGGCAGGGCAAGATCGCAGGTCGCAAAGGGAAGGCAAGTGCTGCTGAAGAAGAAAGAGTAAGTTATCTGTAAGAAAACCAGTCTGGCTTTGCCGTTGCTCTTGTGGCAGTTTTGAAGATCACTCGCCTTTCTCGAACAGAGCAGTGGCTAGGAATCTGCAAGGACAGCACCAGCGCCCAGTGTCTTTCCATCCCAAATTCGAAACACTTACACATTGAAGGAGGGTGATTAGCAGCCACCTAATGGCAAATCAAAACCTTAATCTTCAGGACAGCTCTGGACGGGGATGTTAGCAATTCATCTAGGAGTTGTGCAACTGGATTAATTATTAGTTATGAATGATCATTATTCATGGGATCACCACTGTCGCAGTTCTGATTAAAAGTGCAAACTCCCCCAAAGAAGCAACCACCTGAGGAGAAGCTGGGTCATTTAATAACCAGGAGTCTATTCCTAAAGCCCACGGCTTAATGTCTGCTAAAGGTTCAAAAAAGGTAGAATGAGTTCCTTATAACTGCAGCGGAGCCCTGTAGAAAAACTCAGGCTCAATATAACACAGGCAAGCGGGCTAACTCTAGCACCAGGGCGCTTGTTGATGAAACAAGGGCACGACGTTTCTCAGCTCACTCCGAATCTCGCTTTCATCACTTTTTTCTTATGTTACAAAAAATAATGGAGCCAAGAGGGCAAAGAGCAGCGGGGAAGGACCGCAGGAGAAACAGGAGCTCTGCGTTTGATCGCACAAATGTCACAATTAGGAAATTAAAGTCTTTTGAAATTATTTATTTATTTTTCCTACTAGAGTAGATCACAAGCTTGGGAAATGGCAGTGTGCTCATCACAACGAAGGAAGATTGTTCCATAGCACTTCGCAGCTCGGATATAACAGGGAACTCCCATTTCCCTCCGTCTTCTCAATTGCATTTAGTAAGTTTGTTCCGATATAAGTTTGTTCAGATCAAGCATCTTGGAAACAGGAGTAAAAACTTTGCGCATCTGTCCCCCCTTTTCCCACCCTTCCTAATTAAGAACCCCAAACTCTTCTTGCTTTTAGAATGCACACGTTAGCTTCAAGATTTACAATAAATCAACGGAATTGTGTTACATACGTATCAGGCAACAATCTGCAGTTTGGGTCACTCACATTGTGCCCTAAAGCTGCCCATTCCATTCCCTCTCACAGCAGCCACAGCACCTATTTCCCGTAAAAGTCCCAGAAACCTCATCTTTCTTGGCAAAGCTGATAGAAACTCCAGGAGCGCAGTAAAGTTCATCCACTTCTTAATTCATCCTTAAGGTTCTTCCAATATTTGAGTAAGGACTTCTGCTCCTCCTGAGGTAATTACAATGGTATGTTCAAACTGAGCTGATCTGAAATACACATTTAGCAATTATTAAGGGCAAAGGTGGCTAGCAGTACCTATGAGACTCCCCCAGTCCTTCCGGCTGTCAGTGATCAATGGCACAGTTTAAATATATATAAGAAGTAAATTCAGGCACCTTTTATTGTCTACAGAAACTGCGGTCCATTTATCCTCTAGGATCTTAAGTTCAGGGGATCCTTCCATTATGATTGGCTCTGTAATAGGGAAAAATGTTTTTTGAGCTGGCCAAAACGCATCGTTATCCTATTTCTGAAAAGAAAGGGTTCCCAAAGGTAGAGTTTTTATATTGCATTGCTACACTAGCATAAGAACTAAAGAGCAGGAAAAGGAAACTATGAGGTATGAAGTTACTCGTTAATTTTTTTCGTGAAAGACTAAAGAAGGGCATTTCAATCAAGCTTTAATTAAGACCCCGTGGATAATAACCAAAGCACCAACCACTCTTAAAAACAGCAGATAGTTTTAAAATATTTGATTTTTTAAAACAGGCTTAAAATGTTCATTAAATCAGCAAAACAACAATTTTCTTATTTCCCTCTAATTGCTGCACCATTTAGGCACACAGTGAGAAAGAGGGCTTTTCCCCCCCTTAAGCTTTCTATGATTGGTATTTAGCACATTCAGCCTTCTAGGGAAAGGATTCTGACTGGTTAGCTAGGATGTAATACATCCAAAACCACACAACAGCTCCTGTCATGAAGCAAATGACATAATAGTCACCAGATAGCTGGTGTTAAAAACATTACTTTGGTTACAGAATTAGATTATACTATTTCTGCGAAGACAGCTCCCAAACGTGCTGATCTCTACACTACAAAAATATGGATCAAATCTGTTATTTAATAAGATCTTTTGGAGACTTTCCCTCTCCCAGATCTTATCTCTTGGCAACTATTTCTACGAACTATTTCACAAATGAAAATTTAATGGATGTTTTCAATTTCCTTCCCATGGGAATAGACTAACTGAAATTCCCAAACCTGAAGTGTGCTTGAAGCTAATCAAAGAAAGACAAGATAGGGATATGGTTTTAAATTTTTTTAAAAACATACACAAAAGTTACTAACCTATTGTAAACGCCATTCCCTCTTCCATTAACAAATCACTATCATTTTCTACAAAAGAAAACAAAAATGCTTTTATGGTGGCTGTTTTTTTGTTTGTTTTTAAAGTAAATTGTAACCAGCACTTGCTTTTAAAAACTTTTTTTTGTTTGGCCCGCAGGTATCAAGTAAAGCAAATCCCTTTAAACATCTGAGGAGAGCGTTTAAAATAATCTTTCCAAACTCGAAGCAAAGCAGGCGCAAGATCTGCAAGATCATTCTGTTAGACATAGATGGAACCATTCTCAGTTCCAGTTCACTTCTAAGGGAATTACAGAATTTTAAAATTTAATCAGTAGAGTAGTTTTGTTTGTTTAGTAGTAAACTTTGCCAGTTTCGATCAGTTTAGGACTATCCGTGAAGCACACAGCATAGGGGCTGTATTCATATTGATCTTTCTGGCTTTAAACAAGTTATCTGTTGTTCCTGAAGAACAAAACTGACTACACAAAGGGAAAGCCCGCAGGGAAAGTTTAATTTGGTCAAATAGAAAAGTTTAGCCGATTCTTATGGCGGCTTTTTGTGGCAAAACAAAATCAAGACTTTAACAAATACATTTGACATCGGATAGGTCGTACTCTAGCGGTGTCGCTCCAAATGTCAGCATCAGAAGAGAACGGGCCCTGCTTCCAGTTTGCCGGCTATTATGATCTATTTGGTCCTTTTCTACGACAGCCTGTGCTGCGCGGGGAGTAATAATCTCAGGGAACGCCTGACAGAGGAAAAGTGGGTTACTTCTACTCTGTGGGATATTGAGCTTCCGCTGGGATCTGCGATGTTTCAAGTGGCCTTCGAAATAGTTTGCAAACTATATTTTAAGGGCATGCAGAGCCTTGTATGGCTTCATCCCAGCCTCTTGCAGCATCGCTAGTCATCAGGTGGCAGTGGCTAAACAGGTGTGAAGAAAACAGCAAATCCCCGGCTGACCAATCACCCCTACCCTCAGGAAGCACAGAGTCTGGGCCCGATTCTGCTCCCAGGAAAGACAACGGCAAAAGCATCCTCTATTGATTCTAGCGGGGCCCTGTTTTAGCGATAGCGACGCTAGCTAGGCCAGTGGGAGCGCCCAGTTGTTAGCGCCCAGCAGAGCTGACGGGGG